TCGAGTTCTTGGACAAACATTGTTTGTCTGAGAATCGCAGACTTGCCAGTAAAGAGGGCGAAGGTGGTGAAGGCGTAGAATCAGCCTTCGACCTGGTTTATCTGCCGATCGACTTCACGTATGTGACATAATTCTCTTCACTTATCTAGCTGTCTAGTTGACTCTAGTTTGCAACATATATCTTATTGCGTTTGCTTGAGTTTAGGATTGTTCATTGGTACGTGGTAAGGTTTCATTCGGGTTAAAATTTGAGGGTATTCTTCTATTAAGAAAAAACTCCTGGGCATAAAGAAATTTTTATTTTTAGATCATTCTTAAGTTTTAAACTATATTGTATCCATAGATGAGGCGGATGTGTGGATTCAATTTATAGAGGCAAGACATCCCCGTAATTTTCCAGTACTGACCGTCGCGATCGATTTTGCAGTACGAGGTTGAACAAAGGATACGGATTCGTGAACTTCACCAATCCGGAGGCAGCTTGGAGGTTTTACGCTGCCACGAACAATAAGAAATGGGACTACTTTCAATCTAACAAGGTTTGTGACAACGTCGCGGCTCGACTTCAGGTATTTGTTATGCCCTAACTCCTGTTCTTCATTTCTTCTTCTGATTAAAGTTGCAATTCTTTATATTCGGAGGATTCGATGATTTTTCACTTCGTCTGGGATTCACTGAGATTAATTAATTGATTTGTTAAATACTGAACATGTCTAGGGAAAAGAGAAGCTAGCGAGTCACTTGAACTCGATGAAGTTTCCGCCGGACTGGGACGAGGTTTTGCCGGTGTGTTTTAGCCCGCCTCGTGACGGCACTGTGAAGGGAGGCCAAAGGACTCTAGGGAAGCCGAACGGCGGTGGAAGCTCGAGGGCAAGCGTTTGCCAATGGAAGGAGAAGACACCTCTGGCAGTTCAACAAGTCAGCTCTTAGGAAATTTGCATGTGTACCCTCCAAATGTATGGCAATTTTCGATGATTCAGAATTAATCTTCACAATTGGACACAGGAGCGCTAGATTAATCTGAATCATTATATGTAACATCATATGCACGGAGAGTACACAATTCATTTCCTAGGTCTGGTTATGGTTTGATTTTCTTTTCCCCGGGCGGTCTATTTTAGCTTTGTCAGCTTCTGTATGTATCGCTGGTTTATGATGAAAACAGTACAGTAGGGCTTGCCCTATGCTTCTAATATCTGGAACAAAGTTTTCCAATTTCCAGGAAATCTGGCCCGAGGCCAGAAACTTTTATATACTGTTTGACTTTGCGAATTAAAGTAGGTGAAATATAAAATATTCCCTTGTAGGGTCAATTTTCTTTTCTATTTTTGGGGGTGTTGGTGTTCTTTGTGGTAGCCTAGTTTTGTGATGTTTGATGATTTGTAGCAATATGGGGTTTAGATGGACGGAAGGCAAGTCAGCGCCCGAAGGGCTGCAAATTTGTCTCTATGTGCGAAGTGTGTGTGATGTCTTTTGGTATATGGGTTTGGATGAATCTTTCCTCGTTAGTGCATCTGGAAAATGGGAAGCAGAAAGAGGGTTTGGCTTATTATCGTGGATGAACCCAAATAATGAAAGGTTGATTAGGGTTTGAATTCGAATGGTGCTTTATCATTTTTATGGCAGCATTCGAGAAGGGGAGATTGTTTGTCCTTGTTCAGTTGAACAATTGTGTGCTTGTATTGTCAATGAGGCTGAACAAGTCCATTGCGCAGCCAAGCCTGCGCATCAGTTCAGCTCATTAATTGTGACGAGATGAATTGTTCTTTTTATTTTATTTTTAATTTTTTTAAAAATAATATAGCTACTCTTTCCTTCAGCGACTGTGCTTAAAGGATAAGTACAGTGATGCCCATATCAATAAGCATGTGCTTTAATTTTATAAGGTGTTCTATGAAGATATTCAATAATTTTTTATTTACAGAATTTTAATTATTCTTAAATGTTTTTTTTGAATAAATAAATTAGTTAATTTACATGCTTATTCCTCGGGATCATGATATCATAAAATAAGTTGTTAATATAGGTTTCTAAAAACATGCTTAAAATTTTGATTTTTTTTATTTTTTGTATCTTTCAAATCATGCATAGAACATTTGAGAGGAATAAATATAATATATATTTATTCAAAACATTCTTATCAATTAATTAATAAAGTGAAAGTATAATGGAAAAAAAAATATATGACACTCATCCAATATTTTATATTTTGAACTTTAATATTATGAAAGGAAGAGTATAATAATAATAATAATAATCATCATCATCATCATGAATGTTGGGGTTGGAAAAAAAGCTTTTATTAAATTATAGTTAATATTAAAAATAAAAAGGATAATAAATAAGAAACTAAAATTGAGGTGAGCAGTAGAAACTCTACTTACTTAAGTAAGGAGGCGTACGTAATTTAACCAAGTGATGTTATTTTATTAAATTATTTTTAATATTAAAAAATGGGATTTATTAGAAAAAAAGTACTCTCTTTATTTTAAATTATAAGACACTTTTAGAAAAAGATTTGATGTTTCAAAATATGAGAAATTTTGACAAAAATAAGATATCATTAATAATAATTTTTTAATATTACTTTTCTCATTATATATATTTTAATATTCTTTCATAAATAAATGGAGTATTAAATGAAAAATATTTTTAAAATTTATATTTTTATTTTAAAAAATAAAATTATAAATTGTATTTAATAAATTTTATTAATATATGTGATTTTGTTTAAAAATATTTTGTAAATTCGTACAAAAAGAATGGAAACTGAGAGCGGTATCGTAATTTGATATAGCTTGAGGGAAGAGATAATGGCTGCAGAATGCGGGTTACTTGCTGAGTGTGTGGGTGAAAAATATTTAATGATTTATTAGAATAATAAAATGGCCATTGAATGAAGAATTCTCAATGTGCTTATTCCATTTGACAAGAATATTCTCGATATTGCGTAGTATCTAAAGGGTTATGGTTGAAGTTTATCATTGTAAATAGTAAAGCGCCTTCTGTTTTAAAATATAAGATAAAAAATAATTAAATAAAAATAAAATTTTATTAATGATAATTTTTAATATTATTTTTATATTATATTCTATCTTTTTAATAATGTTTTATAAATGAAGTATTAAATAAAAATTATTTTTAAAAATTGATATTTTTATTTTTAAAAATAAAATTATAAATTATATTTCACAAGTGTTTTTTTCGTAACATAATTTGAGAGAAAGAAAATAGTGTATAAGCACAAAATAAGGGTTTGTTTGTTTTCTGTTTTTTTAAAAAAAAAATTATTTTGAAAAATAAAAAAATTTATTTGAATAAGTGTTTTTTTACTTAATTTTTTTTAAAACTGGTTTCATTTTTTACTTTTAAAAATAAAAAATTAGAAACATCTTTAAGTTATTTTTTTATTTTTAAAATATACTATATTTGATTATTAGGAATTATAGTTACTTTAATTAATTTATATTATGAATAATCATTATTAATTATTTATAATCATTATTATCATTTTATTTTTAATTTTAAAACTGTTTTTAATTGACATAATAAAATATACTTTTATTTTATTCTGTTTTAAAAAGAATTTTAAAAACTATATTATAAAACATTTTTTAAAAATAAAAAATGAGAAAAGAGAACAAACAGGAACTATATTATAAAACAAATTTTTTTTATACACAAGAATAACTAGAACCTGTTAAAATTAAGTTATAGTTAGAGTCGGGAATAAGGGTTGGGTTTGACGGGCCGCCCGTTTAAACCCGTTTTAATAAAAGTTCGGGCTTAAAAATTTGGCATTTTTTAGGGTAACCGAACTTCGAAGCCCAGCCCTTTTAAGCCCTAGAAAAACGGGCTCGAGCCCGGGTGGCCCGTGAAGCTCGTTTTACTATTCACAAAGTATTGTTCTCACTCACCTCTTTTCAGATAATATGCAAACATTGATTTATATTTTGTACCAGCAATTGGTTGAATTGTTTTTTGCCATTTTATAGTAATTTTTATATTTCATCTTATGATATATATATAGATATATATTTGATAGTAAAACAATTTAATTAATAATTATTGTAGGTGATGATGAAGAAGCTGCAGAAATAATTAATATTGAGCCTCCACCTCCATCTTTCACAAATGGACCTACATCTTAGGGTTTTAATATTTTATTTATGGATGATAATGAGAGAGATCTTGATTAGGATTGATGATGATATTTGCCTTTATCTTATTTGGACTTTTAAATTTTTTGTTTATTTTTTAGATCATGTGAGACTTTGGTTTGATATATGTTAAATTTTAAAATATTCTAAATAAATTTAAATGTTGAATTTTATTTTATTCTTATCCGGACTTACGGGCCAGGCCCTGAGCCCTATAAATAAGGGCCGAGCTTCAATTTTAGGATCAAATTAAAGTAACCGAGCTTTAAGGCCTAGGCCCATAAGGGCTGTGCCCATAACTCTAGTTATAGTATGGAGCCCAATACAATCACTTTGCATCATCCTTTGATATTATGAAATAGTTTTAAAAATAAAAAATGAGAACAAAACTAAACAGGACCTGATATTCTTACATTTTCAAAAGAAGATACATTGCAAAGCTGCATCATTAAATTAAATTCAATGATTTAAATTTAATATTTTTTTAAAAAATATAATTTTTAATCCCTATATTTTACTCATATTTTATTATAAATTCTAACACTTTTTTTAATATTTTGAATCTTCATATTTTTATTTTTTAATGTTTTAAATCTTTAAATGATTAAAATAATTAAAGTATAGAATTTTAAATGAACGTAGAACATAAAAAATAAAAATTTAAAAATTTAAAATATTGTGTAAAGATCTATTACAAAATACGGATAAAATATAAAAATTAAAAGTCATGTTTTTCACAATTTTTAAAATATAAATTTAATTTAAATGGTTCAAGGAAAGCTGACCCCCTTTGACTGTGTGCTATTCATTAATCATTCCAATGCTCAAATTCCATGTGAAGATAAAAAACAAAGCCTCAACCAAAATACCAACAAAGTTTCTCAAATTCTTATCAGAGCCCTGCAATCCGAAAATTTGCAGCATTATGGCGGCAAATGCGCCATCCGGCCCTCTACTCCACATTCTTGGTTCCCAATCATCTTCTCTGTCTTCGATATCGCCGTCTTCAGTTTCTTTCTTTTCTTTTCTGAAGCCTCTTCTTCTCTCATCCACCATAACTGTTCCCACTGCTATACCTAAACGTCTTCGACAGATCCAAATTCTACTTCGTCGGAAATCCATCTTCGCTTCCATCACTCATCTATCTAATCCTCTCTTTTCTCACTCTTGGTCTTCATGTGTGGTCTCTGTTCCTCAGAGACATTGCGATGCTGTGGGATTTGGAGATTCGGTGGACATTGCTGAGGACGATGAAGCAATTGAACCGCACAGTGAAGAGAGTGGGATTGAAAACGAAGATGAGGATGCCGAGATGAGTGAAGGTTCATATTCGTCGCCACTGCAGAGAAACAGGGAGGAGAGGTTGAAGTTGCCGAGTCTCACTGTGAAGGAAAGGAAAGAGCTGGCCTCTTACGCTCATAGCTTGGGGAAAAAGCTAAAAAGCCAGTTGGTGGGCAAGTCTGGCGTTACACCTAATGTTGCGACCTCTTTCATTGAAACTCTCGAAGCTAACGAGCTTCTCAAGGTATTAATTCCTTGAAATTTAGTTTAAAATTGATTGTTATACCTCGAGATTGACAGGTTGTGACTTGTTTCTTCGTTCTGAAGCTTATAGGTTAGCATTAGCACTGGAAATTATTTTCTGTTTATTTGCACGCCTGAATTTTGAATCATGTTTGATTTGATCAGTAAGGAGAGAATGGATAATAAAGGGCAATTAGTGCTTATTCCCTTTTTCCCTTCCTTTTCGAGCTTATATTGGGGATTCTATTCGGCATAAGCTGTCAAGTGTTCACGAGGTCTGCGATTCCCTTTAAGTTCCAGTTTCATGTATAGTTTGCTTCTGTTGGAATTTCTTTTGCCCGCCTCCCCCTATTTTGAGTATTGCTTGTCTAATTGATTTGCTTTTAGAGTTATTTTTTTTATTTTTAATATGTTAAACTATCACATCAATCTGGTGTGCATGCTTTTATGTTGTGAATTGCCCTGTTGATAGCAGTGAATGTGTTGCTGAGCTTGTCTTTGCTTGAGATTATTACACATTGGGACCTTGGAGTTAAATTTTTACCATTTGAGGCTTCGAGATGTCAGTGTATGTACGAAACAATTGCAAATTTATGTTCACGTCGGATTATTTAATATTTTTTTCATGAGCTTCCTGTCAGTTCAAATGAAACATGTCACACTGTGTCAGAGCGCCTTCCCTTAACTTTCAATTGGAAATTGCTAGTGGAATGGTTTTGGTTCAAAGGAATGAATTTAGGTGCATTTTTCAAGTGTTTTCTGTCAGGTTTATAATAGTGACGTAAAAGAACTTTTGTTAACTAGTTAATAATGTGGTGCTTAGTTATAAAAATGTCTCTGGGTTATATTGTTTTTACTCACGAGCTTGAAAGTAAACACCTACAGAGTTTTAACCCGTTGTCATTGTTCAAATTGATTAGAATATTGAGTGCACCTATTAGCATATTCTAATTAAAGTAGACAATGAAATGGGAGTATGGGAATTTAGTTACTTTGCATTTATGGAATAAAACGAAACAATCTATCTATATGCAAGACGGCGACTCCAATATCTCCGTGAGATTTTTGTGTAAATGGTAAGGAATCATCAAAATAAGGTAGCTGCAGTCAGCAAAGAATAATTTGCAGCACACATATCTCATTTCTTGTCTTTCTAGATCTGTACTTGAATTTGAATGGCATATACGCAGATTAAAATACACCGGACTTGTCCAGGAGAGCTAGATGACGTGGTGAAGCAGTTGGAAGAAGCAACTGGTTCAGTGACTGTTGGTCAAATTGGTCGAACAGTGATTATATACAGACCTAGTCTCACCAAATTGAAAGCAGAAGAGAAGAAGAAACAAGCTCGAAAAGTGTTTCTGAGAAAACAGCTAAAACCAAAACTGGTAAGCAAGTTGAGGGCGTAGCTTCATCTCCATAATTACACCTGACCCTTGGGACATTCTCCTAATAGTCTAATAAAAATCGCAGGGTAAGGAGCAAGGGTCAAAATTTCCAAGGCGGAGATAATTTTGGAAACAACAGGTTATGAATTCTTTGTGAGCTTATATTGAGGTTAGCGGTGTTGCTCAATCTATACAGGTTTAGGCTTTTCATGCTTGGCATTTAGTAGCTCAATTTACAAACATATTCAAGGCATTTGAATCTCAATTTGCATGTATAAAACTCTTGCAGCTTATGAAATTTCACTGCGGAGGAAGACTATTACTGTATTATTATTATTATTATTTTAATAAAAGGCCACGGCAAACTGTGCAGTGAGACTCAGTTCTAGTCATGTCTAAAAAAGTCAATAGGCTTTTACGGTCATCTGGTGATTCATGTAAGATCTTAACATTGAAGTTTTTCGAATAAGGTTTACAAGACAGAAGATCAATGCAACTATTTGCTTTTCTATACATATGATCAAAAGTGATCATCCAATCTCTCATAGTGAGATGCCTGATTTTTCTAATCATGTCGAATAAAGGATGAGTTCTTGAGTAGTGATTGATGAGTGGCAAAGCCTGCATTGAGTCCAAGCGGATGTTATGGGTATTACTATATAATATTTATTGTATAGAGATTATTTTGCTTAAGAAACGAGGAAACTTTTTGACTTAGCAACTTAAATATTAGGTCATGCATGTTGATTATTTTCCGAAAAGAGACGAAGTATTATTGTTTGCAAACTCAAGTTGGTCATTGATAGAATACAATGGCATTGGCATTGTATGATTTGTACAACTAACCACATTTAATGAAAAATAGCTCCTTGCTGCTGCTGCTGCTGCAAACTCAGAAACAAGGACGTCGGCTCAACTGTAGGATACCACGACATTCACAATGTGTGGTGTTTTTAGTGCCATTCGAAGTTTTAGCATTTGACATTGTACGAGAGAAAATATAGTTCATTCTTGAAGTATTAGCACTTCATGGATTAGAAATTGACTCGATAGATATGCTCATGCATATTAGAAAATCCGGCTCCTACTGCACTTGAGTTTTGCACCAGGTAAAGTCAGCTCCCGTGAATAATTATTCGTTTGGAACAAAGCAAACTCCAGGGACAGGGTTAATGCTGGAATAACTGCAAGGTAATTGCGAATTGATGGCTGCTGCAAAGGCCATCATTGCTCTTATATAAATGGTATCCAGAGACTTGGGAATTTGCTGCGTGATTGTTCTTTATGGAAGATCCTCCATGAATAAGCTTAGAGTCGTGAAGTTCTCCATTTTTGACAGAAATTATCCAAGACTAGCCATCCTATTCGCCGGAGATACAAAGACACGATGGTGATGACCGGCTGCAAGAATGGGAAACTCATGCAAATTGGCTACCGGGAGAGAGAATTAGCGCAGGATAATCTTCGTAATATCTCCAGTACTTGTTAACCTGCCAGCATTTCATTGCACTAGGATTTTTCTTGAAATAGACAAATGTTACACCGCAATCTTCTATATCTCTCCATGATTATCAATTATGGGTTCTTTTGATTGCTAGAAAGGATAAGAATTGAATGTATTGAAAATATTAACATAAAGATGAATTAAATTATCATTTCTCTCATGGCATGACAAAATTTGATATTATATATTTTAAATATAAGAATCATCACATGTAAAAAATTTTATAAATCATGATTTTTTAGCCTACGAATTAAATTTTCTTTTTCTCTTATAACTATTATTCTTTTATGCTCTTCTACATTTTAATTATTTTATTTTTGTCTCCATTTTTTTAATCTATTTCATTTTATTTTTTTCTAGTAACTAAGTGAGATTTATATTAACTTTCATTTGCACTTAATTTATTTGTTATGGAATGACATTCAAACATGAACTAGACAAATCAAACAAAAAATAAATTTATATTCTTATTAATAACAACACTCCAAATCAAACAAAATATTTTTGCAATGCATATATGTATGTGTGTGTGTATATATATATATATATATTCATTTAAATACTTTTCTTTTTACATTCTCCCCTCCCCACAACTGGATTTTATGCTTATGCTTATAGGAAGGATATAAATAACACGGCAAAGACGTTAACGGTGTAGACAAAGCGACATTTAGTTGGCAAGAAGATAAGCATAATTAATCGGTAAATAATCATAATAGTGTCATATATGAGACAAATAACATGACTTAATCATGTGAACTGTTAATCGCAGTTAAACGGTTGACTGCAACTGTTACTGTTACACGATATATTTGGCATAATCAACAGCAGGCTTGCATTTATAAGACCACATCACATTGACACATTCTAGATTCTACAAGGAATATAATCCAGATTTAAATTTAGAAATAAAATAACAGGAGGAACACTAAAGCTTATAAATTGCTTGCATCGCATCATGCGTTTAAGAATTAATGAGCTCTGGCATGTAGACCGTAACGGCATGCCTATCCCTCGACACTTTAAAAATAAATACAAGAGTGCTTCTTCTATCCCAAATTCCCAATCAAGGTGTGTCATGGACTATATTATATAAAACTAAGCTACTGATCTATGCAGCCTTTAATTGCTTATACTGCTCAAAATCTTCAGAGAATAACATGCCATTGGGTGAAAGAAGGCGCTGGAGGGACATCGAAAACCGAGCCTATAAACGGTAAAATAATTGAACATCAGAATTTTATAAATAATGCTTGTACTTGATGCAAGCAGGAGATCCTAGTCTTACCCATTGAAATATTGCGAGAGCAAACCAGCAGCCTTGCAAGCCATATCTGCTGCTCAATATCTGACGCAAAGGGAAATTGGATGTTACGTAAAAATGAGAACAATATTACATTACACAGAAGAGATCAAGAAGGGGTTACTACCAATAGTACAAATGCACCAAAGGTGAAGCATCCGCCCATTGATAAACTTATAAATCTTAGATCCCGTCCAGCCTGCATAAACAAGCACACCATGAAACTGCAGAGACATTGCCGTATACTGTTCAATTCATGAGCAGCAAAGCAAAGCAAGTTGGAGAGATACATCATAATATACCAAATAATCATGCAATCGTGTCACATTTATGTAGTCTGTCAGATAGTGTATAGAAGGATATGGATTTCACTACACACAGTACAAAAAGAAGTACTAAAGTTGAAACAGCAGAGTTCCGTTTGACAAGATGTAATGCACATCCACAAATAGAGGTCAACAAGACATTCAGCTGCTGAATTACCCAAATTAAACAACCCTATAAGAGTAAGTTTAAAGGACCTTGTAGGTAATTCTAAGCTATTAGACACTGAACCACCCTGTTCATGTCCTGGCCTAAATATTTACATGCTATTTCTTTTGGAGAAGTTTAAGTGTTTAACTGAACATACCAGCAATGTTCCTTCAAGGCCAAGAGTAGGGGGTGTTATAGCAAGCGCTATGAAGTAAGGAATTAGCACCTTGTGCATCTGCATGGTCACAAATACAATAGTTAACTATACTAATTTATGTATATATAGTAAATCTACTCTCAAAATCATAAGATCTCTTAACATCCATTTTCTACCAGTGCAAATCATAATTGACACCACATAAGATAACAATCTAAAGTATGAAGCGCAAGCACTAACCTCCTGGATAACCATCTGGTCAGGCGTAAAAATTTTGGGGAATAACCAAGGAATTGATGTTCCAACAATTCCTAACAGCAACCCAAGTATAGCTCCAATTATTACCAGAGACCTTAGAAGTACTCTAGCCTGTTGAAATTGTGAAAATTCAGGAAAATTTCTTACAACAGCATGCATAAGAAATTCAGCAGCAGTTACTAGTAAAGAAATTAGAAATGCCCTTCTTATCTGAAAAGGATTCTCATCTAACCTTTGCCAAGCTCCGTTTAACGCCATAAATCAATTCAGGCATAAACGATTGGGCAGTTTGAGAGAGAGGTTCACCCCATACTGTACACGTGCAGAAGGTTTGAACCATGACCTAACATTAAAGTCAAATCATATCATGGCCCTTGGATTTCAGTTTTGCATACAGACAGACAGCAAACAAAGCAAGGAATAGAGGATAACAAGATTAGACTGGCGTGAGACTAACTTGATGAGCAGCCATTGTATGAGTGCCCATTGATGTGGCAAAATATATAAGTAGTGAGTAGAAGCCCACCTATATATGAAAAGTCTCAGAAACATAATAAAAAAAAAAGAGTTAAAACTTAAACAAGATTCAGATTTAAGTCGCATAATAAAATTCAATACTTGATGCAACCTTTGACATTAGTGTTACAAATACAGGGGTAGCGAGCCCAACTATCGAAAAAAACTCCTGGGCTGAGGGAATGGAGAGGGCAAATGCATTGTATCCCTTCCCTTTTAGACTCTGAAGCATCATATACCCAGCAACAACCTAAAAACAGGAATGGAAGAGGAGAAGGATCAAATATATGGCAGTATAATAGTTATTGTATTATAACTTACGCCAATATTTAGCATACTTGTGATGCCATTGTAGCCCATGCAGCCCCTGCAATACCATAGCCCATATAGATACACAAAACTATATCACCAATGCCATTTATAGCACTAGCAGCGGCCAAAGCCTTCAAGGGTCCCCAAGAATCCTTCATACCAAGACTGTGAGAGGGAACGGTAATATTAGGTGAATGGATTCAATTAAGAAGCCTATGTTTAGATAATTACTTATAGAAAGACATCATGTATTACAATAAGCTCTACTAAGGGTAAGTAGAAACTTGAAGACACAAAATGAGAAAATTTGTATGAAAAGCTAGAAAGTACAGTGATGATTATTGTTAGAACAGTTATACAATCCCAGCATCATCTGAACATGAAAAATGGGTCACAAGAAGTTTTGAGTAAATATAAAGATAAACTCTATCATCAAATTGAACACCTCACCAGGATTAACATGAACAATTATATGTAAATGAAATAGACTGTAAGAGCAGAATCTCATCTAGATCAAAAAAAAAAAAAATGCACAAAGTAGCAATCTTTCATTTCAGCTAATAAAGCTTGAGAAACAGTAGATAGCATATTTGACCTAGCACTTTGCGCAACCCATCCAACAAGTAATGCAGGCCATGCCAAGCCTCGAATCTGATAAGAAAAGAAACTCCTGATAAGTCATTTAAGCAAGTTAAACAGAATAAAAAAATTCATGGCTTAATTATTTAATAATTATGAAGCAAAAGAAAATACATTCTTATGAGAAAATATAAGATGATGGCTTCAATTGCTTTCCTCCATCAAATGTTTGATAATTTGTTATACTTTGGAAAATATAAATTGTAGCCTTTAATTAAATTAAAAAAGTATATGCAATAATAAAAAAACCTGGACATAAGTGTTTGCTGCAGGCAATACATGTAAATTCTTTGACCCAGTAAAAGCTGAAAAGAAGAATAGACAGAAAATTCATCAGTCATTGAATTCGTTATGCTACCGTTTCTGCATAAGCAAGATACTGTCATCGTAAGTATGAGGAGCACAAAATAACCAAGCATTGAAAGCACTACACATCCCATATATATAAAAAGTAAGTAGTAGATTCCAATACCAGTGAGCATTGATGCACCAAATAATCTTGTGAACAAAAGCATCACGAAGCCACAAGCTAACCCAACTAAAAGCAAGACAGAGATGTGATGCTGCACTTCTTCTCCATCCTACACAAATATATGCTCAAGCAAAGCAGTGTTAAGTCCTGGGGACACACAAAATGATAGACATGACCCGTAAACATACATCAAAAAGCTCAAAATCTACAAGATTCAGAAAATTGGTCAAATAATGTAGTAATTAATAAGGCCACGGGGCAGAAATGCAAGATAGTAAAATTTTAAGTCTTCGAAGTTAAACTTTAAACATCATAATTCTAATGAAACAAGAAACTAACCTGTTTAGCAAGGGCAGTAGCTACCATGTTAGAAGTCGCAATCGAGAGAAACATGAACGCGTAGCTCATGTAATCACACACAACTGTAGCAGGGCCTGCTCACGGGAAATTAAGAGTTCTTATGATATATATTCAGCAATCACAAGGTATATTGGGTGAGTAGATTTATTGTATCCCGTGACTCAGTACCTAAGGCAGCAAGCTCAATGGAGCTTCCCTGACCAATAACGGCCGTATCAATAAGACTCATTAGTGGTCCGCATATCCAAAGTCCCGTTGCCGGTCCTGTAAACATTACAATTTCCTTCATCTGACCCCATAAACTCTGGTCAGCCAGTTCCTTCTTCTCTACCTTTTCCACCACTTCAACTTCGCCTTCTTGCTTTCGAGAATCCTCATCCACATAATCCTCATTTGCAATAAAAGTTTCGCGGCCATCATCGGTGAGTTCTCGAGTCCGATTAACGCAAGTGGTCACGAACCAATCGCGATGCGTCCTGTAAGTTTTGAGGAATAGATTTGAAGGGAACGTAGGAATGTGAACGGAAGGTCGGGATGAATCGAGGTCTTGGTGATTGAAGAACAAGGCGGTTGAAGATTGAGGAAGTGATGATGAAGTACAAGTGTTCTTGTAGGAAGTGTTGTGAAGAACGCGAGTCTGTAGTTTACATGCCATCTCTGATTTGGTGATTTTGATGGCGATGAAGGAGTGAAGCAGAAAAGTGGCTTCCAACTTCCAAGAAAATGGAGGGAGGAGAAAGGAAGACAAAGCACAAAAAAGGGGCCGAAAAGCGAGTGGTTTGTAATTCTTCAAGCCAAACAATTGGTTTGGCTGTTTTGTGATCAGAAAACGATAATTCCGTCACTTTCTTTATTTCTTTTTTAAATCTCATTATAACAAGTGGGTTATATGAGAGTCAGAAGGATCAGTTTCGTTGCAACAATGGATCCATCCAGTTTTGATCTGGGAGTTTAGATTCAATATAATCTTATTTGTATATTTTTTTATAAAGTTCGAAATAAAAACTTTCTTATAATTGTTATTCTGCTAAAAATATTTTTATTTAAAAAATTATACGTTAAAAAATTTAAATCTTAAGATGACTCTGATCTTACCAAAATGATAGCAGTGAACACTTGTTTCGTTAGGCTCCTCAGATTTTGAGTTAATAGATATGGCAAATAATTACTTTGTTCTGCAGTCTGAAAATAAGCAACTTTAGTTGAGACTTTTGAATCAGGGCCCTTGGGTCATTCAAGGCCTAACTTTAATAATCCTTATAATAACAGTGAGCTATTTCGGTCAGGATACCAATACTCCCAATGCATTGTTACACTGAGGAAATGCTGAGTGAGGTTGGAAATAAAATAGGAAAAGTGCTGAAGGTGGATAAGAATACGTTGGTTAAGGATTGTGGTCATTCTGCGAGCAGTGTGAATAATATCTCTGGAGACCAAAGTCAAAAGGAAAAGAAAAGATGCAGGTGGATCAAAGTGGGAAGGTTAACCAAAAAAAAAAAAAAGGATTTGGACTCCCAAGCCCAAAGGAGATTGAGAAGGTTTTCAGCTTCAATGCTAGCGTAAAACCAGAAAGGCTAAGTAAGACTTCAGGCAAGGGCTCTCCTGTTAGAGCAAGTGGAATAAAGAGGAATCAATCCACCCGGCTTCATAATGTTGAAGAGAAAGAATACAACCCGACTACAAAATGTTGTTGAGGGATTTGTTTCGCATTGAGGAGCTCTATTTGCTGAACAAGAAATACCTGAGCATGAAAAAACCCTGATGAACGGCGAGGAGGATGCTACAATTCTGAATACAAGTACTGGCCTGGCAATTGCCCAAACGGACGTGGGATTATCGGATAATGACGCTCATACGCGTCACCAACCAAGACCCCTGGATTCGAAATTGGGGTACCACCATCAAAATCAGATTGAGGATGGAGTTGTGGAGAAATAAGAGCAATTTTTCGAAGCTGATGAGGAAGGGATGAATGGTGTAAACACCGAGGCGGTCGATCACGTTGATCAATGAGTTGTGTAGATCTCACAGGTACCCGAGCCTTCCCATATTTTTGCTTTATGTTTATGTTTATGGAACTTTTAGCCTGGAATTGTAGTGGGGCTGCTGCAAAGACCTTCCCTAATAAAATTAAAGATCTACTGAGAGGGAAAGATGTAAATATTCTCTGGGGGCGTTTAGTAATTTGCAATAGGAGTTAAATTTAAAAAATGTTAATTAATAACCTTCTATATAACTTAGATTAAAGACCATAAATTTTTTTTCAAAAAAGCGCCCTACAAAAATTAGAGAGAGTATAATTTATAGCCTAATTTAATATAATTTTTGTAAATATTAATTATCATTGTTTGTTCAAACATTAAACCCTTTTGATGCCGAAAGAAAAGCAAGTAATTTTAAGCGGTGCAGAGGCTATTAATATTAATTACTATTACTATTACTATAAAATATAAACTTTAAGCAAGATGACTATTTTTTAAGATGCAGTCTAATATATTAAAAATTTTGTTTTATCTTATATTAAACCTTTATTACCATGGGGAAGAGCAATTATCAAGATGAATTTATTCCTTCACATTTATTGCCGGTACATGGTGTGGAATATGAAAGAGGAGGTGTGAGTGATGGGTTTTCAATGCAGTAAAAGTGAATTCTAGAGGGTAAAGCACACTAATTATGTGGGAAGCACTGCAAGAGGGGTGATAAAGATAAATGCTGATGAGGCTTTTATGAAGTCGAATGGGAAGGCAGGTGCAGCAATTGTGTGCAGAGACAGCAAGGGTGAATTTATGACACAGTGCTTAGCTGTGAAGTGTGTAGGAAGCACTTTTGGTTTGTCCAGTGATAGATTTCAAGGATGCAGGATATGTATTGAGATTGATTGTTTAAGAAGTTATTGACTACTACTGACTAGGTCTTTTCCAAGTGCTGAGTGGCTGATTGTTCCGGCATTGTCTCAAATCTTCTTGCCTAAGGAATTGAGGCCAATATTGACTTAACCTTAGTGGTAATGCTGCACATTATCTAAATTCTCACTTTGAGCAACAGGAATGAAGACTTGAAGGCAATGGAGAATAGTTCAGATGGGTAGGTATAGGAAATTTCCTTCTTTGTTTGTCTCTTTCATTTTTCATTTTTTATCAGCAAGGAGCTTATTCAACTAATCTGCCGAGTACAATTGTGACTGTCAAACGATGAAGTTCATCAGTGGCACTAGAAAAAAAATACATTAGTCAATGACTTTATAGCTTAGTGACTTATAAGCTTCATGAGAGATCGTTCGATCCCACTTGTAACTTTAAGCCATTATTATCTACCTCTTTAATTGAAAAAAGAAAAAGAAAAAGAAAAAGAAAAAGAAAAAAGTGCATCCCAGACGCACACGAGAGGACTTTTTTAGCCCCCAAAAAATAAAAATAAAAATCTGCAGCTGCATTAGCGTCGCTTCGAACACCGCTCAGAATAACAGTCTCGACCGAGATGATTTCTTTCAGTAAGTTTATTCTGGGTGTTTTCCCCCCTTTCTTTCTTTCTTGATTAGTAAGGGTATAACTTTTTGGCAATTAATAAAATTGACTCGTTTTTGGTTTTTTTTTTTTTAAATATCTTAATCACTTTTGAAATTTTATTTTGCAACATTTACTTCACCTTCAAAATAATTATTTAATGCTAATTAAGAAAGAACTGTTTTACTTTATTCCATATAACACTCCTTTATTTTTTAATGCTTATATAATATAGATAAGAAAAGAGCTTTCTTACTTTATCTTATATTACTGTAATGTGGGTAATGTTGTTTACTGTAACTTATAAAGAGTGTGATCTTTGTATATTTTAAATTACATACAAATATTATATATAAACATATATATAATATTTAATTAATTGCTAAATTGCTGAGAATCAACAAACTGCATCTATGAATTCAAGCATCACGCACCATGGAAAAAAATGGTGAAAAAATGACAATGATCAAATGGATGGTGATTAGTTCAACACAAGTCCCATTAAACTCGTAGGCACATGAATAAAGAATTTGAACCTAAGCAGCTTTCAATTTACCCAATTCAAACTGGCTTTCCTGGGAGTTGAGCATGCCATTAGGAGAGAGAAGACGCCACAGAGCAAGGAAGAATCGAGCCTGAAAAGACCTACAAATTTAGATAGTGTTCTATCTAATTGTTAACCAAAAAATAAAAATGTTGTTTAAATATGTCAATCTTTACCCATTGAAACCCAACAAGAACACACCAGGAGCCAGGCAAACCATATCCTTTGGTACTCACAAGCTGAAATATAAAAAGAAATGACCATGAAGTCAAAAGGCATCGAAGTTGAATTCATGACACAATTCATCTATAGGTACATATATACATACCAAAAGTAAGAGGGCACCAAGACCGAAGCATCCACTCATTGTTAAGCTAATAAATTTGAGATCCCTGGCAGCCTGCATATGGAAAAAAAACATGACCCTGGAACAAACACTTTCTGAAGGTTCCTGTATATCTGAGTGTGGATTTTAATTTATATATAATTTATTAAGAAAATAAGGATAGATAAGCAGGACATTTGCAGGACGTCAGAGATGAAATAGGGATTCTTTTTTAATGAAATAACAAATGTGACAAACTAAAATAAACACACGATAACATACCCTCCATATCCTAAGAACCTAAAGTAATTCCCAACTAGAGGGGAAACTACAATTGACAGTCTGACAGAGGTTGACAAATAGCAAACAAAACAATCCAAATCTTCAATGATGTCAGAACTGAAGGTCAATTTGTGCCGATGAAATCTTCCTCGGGCATTTGAAGATACAGAGAAATGAGCAATCCTGTGGCATGGTTCTGAAGTAGTAATCCTGAATCTAAGATCTGAACAGTTACAATAATGATGAGAGATGCTCTTGCTAGTACGGATTGCATGTGTGCCATTAAGCTTGAAGCACAATTTTCCTTGGTGCAGTAAACATACGTCAAGAGAATTAATTTTCTTGTCAGAGTACTTTTTAGACCCGGAAAGACCAATGGAGGTGCAAACCTTAGGAAGTGCGCATTGGAAAAGGACGATTTAGGTTTTGTAAGACCGGAATCCACTGATACACTGGTGAATTGGGTATTTTTTGGTAAGTGACAGAAGTTGAAATAGGGATTTGGCTCTTTTGCAAATGAGAAAAAATCAGCTAAGGTCATCTTCAAATTTCAAAAGGATGCTACACGATGACGTGACTTTAATACAATATCCCAGAAATAGAAGCTACACAATGACGGCTCGAGTCTGAACTGTTATTTGACATTTATGTGTACATACAACATAAAGCCTATGGATTCACCAAAAAGCTAGAGCCTATGGTAAAAGTATTTAATTTCCTCCCCTAATCTCCCAAAAGAGGGGGGAAAAAAACAAACCTCTGAGGATAGTAATTAAGAGTGAGTATCAATCGGTTTGATTTAATTTAATTTTAAAATATATAAAATCGATCGATCAAATAATATTAAAAATAAAAATTAAATCTAACAGAACAAGCTAATCAAACCGAACAAGAACTGAACCGAAATTTAATAATTTAGTTCGACCGGTTAATTCGGTTTGTCGGTTTTATATTTGGCTATTAAAATTGGGCTCATTTTTTAAATATTAAAACAATCAACACTACAAAATTGAACCTTTTTTTCTATTCATTTTTTTTTCAATATGAGCCCATTCTAATTACACCCATATAACATAAAGCCCAAATATTATAAAGGTATAGATAATTAAATATACAACCACAAATAAACACCAATGATCAAATAATGGCCCCATAATCCAGTCACAACACCTAATGATGAGAGTGACTGACTAAAATGGAGTTTTAAGTGATGTTATTATTTTTTATTCTTTATTAAAATAAAAAATAAAAATAAAAATAAAATAATTTATAAATTAAATATAATTTATAAATTAATAAATTATATGTAATTTGGTCGGTTCAGTCTATTCAATTTTAAATTTTACTAACTAAATCAAACCGATCAACTAAAATATTTAAGATAAAAAAAACGAATCGAACCGAAAAATTAAATAGACCGAATCAAATAGACAAAATTCAATTCGATTCGATTTGATTTTTGGTTTCGGTTCGGTTTTGCTCACCGCTAATAGTAATAAATGACATTAAAAAAAAAGTCAAACATACCAATAGTGTACCCTCAAGGCTATGAGTACAGGGCGCCACCGATAATGCAAGAAAGAACATTAACAACACATTGTGCATCTGCATCAACACAAGATAGAAATTCAGTTTCACTAAAGATAAAATAAGAAGTCCTTTATTCTCATATTTAACTCCATTCTTTGTAGATATTAAATTTCCTCACGTTAAAAGTTTCACTGCGCCCCTTATAAAATAATACTTTCATCATGGTCCTGTCTATAAGGAATTTATAAAGAAATATCCAATATATCTACGTTCAGGACTTTATAGAATCAATTTTTGAATCACTTATTGGAAGCGACAACACCAAAGTTGACTGATGCCAGTAAATTGCATCACAAATCAGATGTAGGATAAGATGATCTAGCAACTAGGTTACTTGCTTCTTGTTTAGCTTATTGACAAGTTACATATACAAAAGCCGTTTCTGATCACCTTGCCAAAGCAGCAGAATGATATGGTTTAGTGACAACAGTTCCAAGCTCGCACTTATGCAACAGCAAAGATTGGTTTATTCATGTGTGTGTGTGTGTGTGTGTCCCATACTGTTAATATGAGAAACACCATATTACTGTAAAGATGAAGAGCAAATAACAAGAATTGCTCCACAAGTTGAGAATATCTAACCTCTTGTATGACGTTAAGATCGGGTGTAAAAATATTTGGCAACAACCAAGGAACAGACATTCCAATCGTTCCTATTACCAATCCAAGTAAAGTTCCGATAATCAGTAGTGACTTCAGCAGATTTTGGGCCTGTTTAATGTTGAAAACCTTTAGAGGACATAAACAAACAGACAGAGCCCATTTAAGAGCCAGATGTTGCACAGCATATAAAGATATGATACTCACTTGAGGACAACTACATCAAGAACATTGTATGTTTGATATTGTAAGTGACACTCAAAAGGGCATGCAGTGAGATATTGTACATGCATTTTAAGTTTCGAACTTCACTAACCTTTACCAAACTTTGGTTGAAACCATATAGTAACTCGGGCATAAAAGACTGTGCAGTTTGAGAGAGTGGCTCCCCCCATACCACGCACATGCTATACATTTGAATCATGACCTAATCGTTGGTGGATTGAGGGTTAATATTAACTGAACAGATCTGCACACTTAGAAAGTTATGGCAATAAATTAAGTTACTACAAGTGTTTGTTAGGTTGTTCAGTTGTGAGTGGATATAAGATCATGTGAGAAGTCCCATATCGAATAAAGTTGGACTTAATAACTAATATACAATAAAGATAAAAAACCCATAAATGGGGGAAGGGAGAGAAGGGCAAGATTAGCAGATAGACGTCACATCTTAACTCAAAATCTTAAGGCTCAAGTTTATGGATCTTTTCTCTTTATTATATATTAATTATTAAGCTCAACTTTATCCGTTGCGGAACTTCCCACATCGTCTTACTTCTATTCACACCTAGACAGCCTAACAGTACTTTTATGAGTAAAGCTAACCTGGTGAGCTGCAACTGTATGAGTACCCATTGCTGTAGCAAAATATGTTATAAGAGAGTAAAAGGCCACCTGAAAACACCAAAAAAATTTTCAGACGCACATATCTTCAACATGGGAACTAATAGATGTACAGATTCAAGCAAGACCTAATTAACCTTTGAGAACATGGTCACAAATACAGGAGCGGCAATCCCAAATATTTGCAAACATTCAGAAGGTGATGGTACTGAGATGGCAAAAGAATTGTAGCCTTTCTTGTTTAGTTCTCCAATCATCATATAAGCTGCTACAATCTGCAAGGAGTCCAGTGAACAAGGTTATTGTAAGAATGACAAAGTGAATAAAAATAAAGAAAATGTCCAACCAGATCTTGTTAAAAATATTTATTTGACATACTTGGGATGCCAGCGTAGACCATGCTGCACCTGCAAGACCATAATGAAGAAAATTGCACAGGACTACATGACCAAGGCCATTAACAGCGCTGGCAATGACCAAAGACTTCAGAGGTCCCCATGAATCTTTCATGCCAAGGCTAATGATCAAAGAAAAAACTTTCTCAGAATGCAGCATACCGACATAAATTACAATTTCAGTATGCTTGATAACTAAAACTTCATCTATTAACGAACACCTTTGTGGATAATGACGATTTTTAAATTAAGGAGTTTGAATTATCATCACAATTACAGTAAAATGCAATCTGCTAAAGTCCATGCCATTCATAGAATAGGATGCCTAGTTTCATGGTTGACTTTACATTTCATTATGATATAGATATAATAATGACAAAGTCATATTATTCTGAAAGGACCATTGATAAATATTAAAAATATATTCAACATCCTAAACAATACATGCTTTTGGCCCTCTAACTGTATATAAGATTTTAATTTGGTCCATTAATTTTATAAAGTATCTTTTTAGTCCTTTAACCCTAATAATGTTAATTTTAAATGATTGTTTTTTGTGCTAATTATTGTTATTTTTAAAAAAATTAAACTTCATATGTTAACATTTAATAAGTTTTTATCAATATTTAAAAGTTCAATGTAAAAATTGTTTGTGATGAAACAAACAATGTTAGGGTTAAAGGTTTAAAAATACACTTTATAAAATTAAGGAACTATAATGAAATCTTATATAAAGTTAAAGGACTAAATATATACTTTAACCTAAAAAAGAGATTTTTGATGGAAAATTGTGTGCTTGTTGATCAGATTGCTGTTTGAGGAGGAATTACACATGAAAGAAGGCATTTTGAAAATCATTTTCTGAACAAGAAGTGAAAGTCCACTCACAAGCATATAGTTCACTGTATGAAGATTAATACTAAAGAAAGATGCGCCATGCAAAGATAATGCTCTTCGGCCATTGCATATAAGAAGAGAACTGAGATACATTATCTTATAATAGGTGAAAATAATATTCAAAGATCGTTATAAAATAACAATCTTATATGTTTTCATAGTTCCAAGCAATAAAACAATAATACATGAGAAGAGGCACACCTTGCACTTTGAGCAACCAGTCCATAGAGAACAGCAGGCCATGCCAAACCACGAATCTATCAATATAAATGCTCTTTTTTTAGTCAATTATCTGAAAATCAACCTGAGAATTAGGTGTGAAATGCACTATCAAGCTATAGGTCGAAAGATATGAATGAGAGGTATATGTTACCACCCTAAAATTATATGATCTTAGATTCTTAGTGACTAAACTCCCCAAATTAATAGACAAGGAAATCACCGGTGAAGACCTGAACATATTTGCTGGCCGCAGGTACAATTTGCACATTTTTTGGCCCAGTAAAAGCTGTAAATAAAAAGTTATTAATTTCCTGCCACCAAAAATATTTATTAACTTCTGCAAATAAGGGATGTTTATGTTATAGGGTTAAAGTACATTTTTACTCTTGAACCTTTTTTTGAAAAGCGCTAGATACCGTGTATTGATGAGCGGGACAATTTTCTTCTTAAACTATTTTTTTAAGAAGCAAAAAAAATGCCCCTTCTGCTAGTCAACCGTTGAATTTGTTGTTTTCTGTTGACGTGGCATGTGCTTGAGGCACACGCACAATAACAGATAGAATTTTAATCATGTCTTTTGGTGCTAATTTGTCTCTAGACTCTTTTCAGAAATGTTGGACATCCTAAAATCTTTTTTTAGGAGCACTAGTCATCCTAAAATCTTGTTAAAATAAAATTTAATAAACATTGCTAAAATATTAAATATTTTCATATTTAATAATTTCAATATTATTATTTATAAATATTCACCCGAAATTTATAAATTATTTTTTAAAAATTTATAATTTTTTTGTCAACTAATGATCTTCTTCCAAACTATTGTACCACCCAAATTTAATATTCTCTATCAAAAACATGATAGATCAAGACCAACATGTCAACAAAAATGCTTATTTGAAAAATATTGCCTGTCCCATTAATGTACTACGAATAAAGCTACTTAATAAGAGAATAATGGATAGATGGGAAAAAATCCCTCCATTAACTTGGAGATTTAGTTTATTCGTTAATTTAGAGATTCATTCCTTCTGTTTTTATACAAAGTTGCAAAATGTCAAAATATTAAAATATTAAACATAGGTGATGCAATATTTTGACAGAAGGCCATTAGTTGATCAAAAAAATTATAAAGAAGAATCTAAAAAATTTAAGAAACTTAATATATATTAAAAATATAATCGATATATTAAAAATTACAAGTCATCTGTAAATTTCTGAAATACTAGTTTGAAATATTAATATTTGAAAAATAATTTATAAATTTTGGATGAATATTTATAAATAAGAATATTTAAATTATTAAATATTAAAATATTTAATATTTTAATAATATTTGTTAAATTTTATTTTAATAAGACTTTAGGGTGTCCAACATAAAAAAAAAACTTTAAGGTACCTCACATTTCTATGAAAAAAGTTTAAAGACAAATTAATACTAAAGGACATGGTCAAAACTCTACTTGTTATTACGTGTGGCCCCACGTATATGCCACATCAATAAAAAACAACAAAATTAAGGGCGGACTAACAGACGTGTTTTTTTCTCCTCAAAAAAATAGTTTAAGAGGAAAATTGTCTTACTTATAAACAAGTACATAGTAACAGCGCTCCTCAAAAAAATTTAGGATAAAAAAGCACCTTAACCTTATATTATGTGTACACATGCTTGGATGAATACAACATCTGGATTACTTACCAGTTAACGCCCATCCACCAAGAAATTGTGTAAACAAAAGCATCAATGTCCCGCATATTAGGCCAACAAAAAGCAAAACCGATATTTGGTGCTGCACTTCGTCTTTGTCCTGCATCATTTAGTTCAACCATCTCAAGTGAAAAGTATAGAACACTGCAGGATTTAACAGCGAATATTCAAGTCATGTAATCACCACATGCTTAAACTCTTGAAGCTGCGAGTTAATTCATCACAAAATAATATATAGAGCGGGTAGCAATGTGGCATAAAATAAGACGTTATTGAAGATTATATTGCAGTACTAGTGTCATCTTGAATAGTATGTTTTGGTCAAAATGATCTGCTGAGGGTGAGTTTTTGTTGTTAGGACTTCGGCTATAGCTCCATATCATTACATCGATTAAAAACTAGTTGCATGAGAGGCCCAATGACTAACCCCTTTGGCAAGTGAAGTAGCAACCATATTTGAAGTTGCAATGGAAAGAAACATGAATAACAAATTCATGTTATCACAAAACACCGTCCCCGGCCCTGCTCACAACAAAGAAAAATATAGGTTAAATCCCAATCTTTGCCTATAGCATTAAGCATTTCGAATTAGTAAAAAAAATATTCAAAAGAAAAAGGGAGTAAGTTCCAGGAGTTGAAACTTTGAAAGGCTACCTAAAGCAGCAAGCTCAGTTGAGCTTCCTCGACCAACCACAGCGGTTGAGATGAGACTCATCAACGGCGCACAGATCCAGAGCCCAGTGGCTGGTCCAGAAAACATTATAATCTCCTTTATTTGAGACAATATGCTCTGATTAGTCAATGCCTGTCCCTTGCTTGTACCAAACTCCACGGCCCCCTGTTCATCTTCGGACCACGAAACAGACTCGGAACTACAATTACACTTGCTCCGAGCTTCTGAATTGCTTCCAGAAACTCCATAATCATTTCTAATGAAAGATCTTAGTAAGCTACAATGACGACTTTTCAACGGCGAGATTCGAAAACTGAGAGGAAAACCTGAGGAGTTGAAGTGGAGAGAAGGTTGAGAGAATCGTCGGAAATTAGGATTTCGAAGTGAAATTGGGGAAGGGAGGGAAAGGGATTTGAGCTGCATTGTGTAATGGTTTCGTTGGAACGTGAGGGTGTGGAGGAGGAGAGTGGAGTTGGTGGAGGAGCAGAACAAGAAAGAAAGTGGGTTAAGTGAAGGAAACGAAATAAATGCAGTGGGGGTTGGTTGGGGAGGAAAACGACGTCGTTCAGGCGGGAGTGCGAGTCCATTGTCGTCCAACTAACCGTGTCCTTCCCCCGCGCGGCTATCTAATTTATATAGCCAGGTCGCAGTTATCGAGCACGTGCCTAACCGAACTTCAGTCGTCTCAACAGCAGCGTATTGTTGCTGGATTTCATGCAGATTACTTGACGAAGAATGCCCTCTCTGCGATGGCTGGATTTCATGCCTTTTCTTGTTGCTTTTAAATGTGTTTTGATTAAAATATAAAATATCAATCAATAAGTTATAAAATTACTTAGATTGAGTTACTGAAAAGTCAAGGCCAATCTAAAAAAAATAAGCCAACCTCAAGCTCAACAGAAGGCTACGATAAGATAAACATATTGAAATTTCACCTATTACAAACATTGAACTGTTGGTACACAGAAATACGATTCTAACTGATTCTAAAATCCACGGGAACAGTATTATCATGCCCCAGCCTCTAGGTGAGACGGGCTGATTATTAAAAATGAAAAACACTAAGTAAAGACCGTGTCATGAGTTTCGCGAGATACTTGATTCTTCGGCAGAACGTTCTAAGTCTTAAGAGAAAGGCTACATCACTCTGACACTATAAATAAAATATAAAAACACAGAAGAAAGACAGTCAACACTCAACAAAAACTCGCATTCTATAACTTTTTAGATTTAACAATTAATTTTTACCTTCAATTTAAACTTATAATCTTTTCACATTTCAATAAAAATAAAAAATAATTGTTCTATCAAATCTTGAGTATCTTTTACATTCAAATGAATTGTGATAATGAAACTTAAAACTTTTTTGTTATTAATTGATATTTAACATCTCTGACACATCTAAATATTTATTGTTCACCCCCAAACAAAATGTCATACCAGAGATTGAGAATTGTGATCTCTATGCTTCGTTGATTCGCCGGACGGATAAGCCATTTACGCACAAGATTGACAGGCGTGCATAGTTTTAATTATGTCCATTAATTGTTGCTCCATCCGATCCGTTCCATTTTCCCCCCTTCATTAAATATGTTATACTAAGAATGAAGCGAGTATCTAGAAGAAGAAGAAGAAAAGGAAAGAAAATAGAATAAAAAAAATGTATTTTAGGCTTTATTTTAACTAAAACCAAATCCTTACAAGACAATTATGTAGTATGATTCCCGAGGAAGTTGTATAATGCAACGTTGTTTTTGTTGAAAGAACGTGAGAGTGTGGAGGAGTGGAGTGGGTGGAGAAGAAGAAAATGAAAGAAAATGGATTTGGTTCATCTGGGAGGAAAATGATATTATTGATATTTATGCTATTCGATTATATATAAGTTGTCTTAAATTACTTTACTAAAATCAAGATAACTAGCTAATTAAAACAATAAACTTATAAATTTACATTATTTCTATTTTTATTCATCACTACCCATGAATGAACAACTAGACTGGCCAATTCAATCGATAATCTAATGTATCAACTTATTGGCCAATCTAGTTTATAACATAATCTCGAGTAATATTAACCCAAACCAACTTGATCAACTTGCTAATTGTAACTTGATGAGTCAATTCAGTCCATTACAATGCATTTATTTTAATAATATATTTGATAAATTTAGACATTATGAGAAAATTATGTAAGAAATATATGAAAAATAGATTACAGAATAATCTTTAAATATTAGTTGTGATAAAGATCAATCCCCTTTGTATTAAATTTTTATTAGGTTATTTAAGCAAAATTATTTAATTTTTTATTGGGATTTTATTGTTTTTTTTGTTGGAATTGTATTGACATGTGTATGATTTTTCTCTTTTTATTGAACTTTCGTTGAGTTATTTGAGCTGAACTCATGCTTTTTTATTTAAATATTCTTTTTTTATATTGAACTATGAATATTTTTATGTATATAAATTAGATTACGTTATTTTAATTAAGACTAATCTAACTGAATCAATAACCTTTGATCTACTGTATTGATTTGTTTAATTTTCAATACATTAACTAATACTATTTTAAATACCTTCACATTATATCAAGATGTGGTTAGAAGGATATTTACAAAATAACTTATTAAATTTTTTTTTCATTAAAAAATATAAAATAATTTTTAAAAAGTTGAATGTTGAACAAATATAAAGTATTTTTAATATTTTAAAATATAATTAATACTTTTTAAAAAATATTTTTAATAAACAAATCACTTTATATTTATTTTTAAATAACATACTTTATTGAATAAAAATAATTTACAAAAAGATATTGGCTTGAAAATAATCAATTAATTTTTTGAAAGTGAAATTTGATAATCTTATTACATCAAAAAAAAAAAAAAACGAGAGATCATGGCTATGAATAATTGGCATTTGACTATGGGACTCTATACTTCAGGCTCGGAAAGCCCATCCCTTGATAGCTGCTCTAGCCCCACTTGATAATTTTTTAACAAAAAAAAAGGAAGCGGTTTTTATATATTTGTCTTTTTTGTTTTATTTTGATAGAAATACTAGAGAAATAATTTTAAAATTATGGGGTTTTTTAATAAAAGAGAAATTATATTAACATGCTAAAACGAATTAACAAAGTCAAACAATTCAAAGCTTAACAGCAAAAGGGGGGAAAAATGACAAGTTGTGGTCAGGATAACTAGGACCACATTTTAGGAAAGTCACATGCGAAAAAAGCTTTATGTCTTGATAAACTATACTCTGACCAAAAGGAGGCAGTAAATTTTCTGTGTCAAGATTTAGCATCAAATTTTCAAGCTTAATAGAAAAATCCTAATGATTTCAAAGCTATAGATCCAATGAAGTAAACTGCGAAGACTGACCACCAAGAAGATGTCCGATGCTATCAGACTTGCACCATAAAGGATGAGTTGTTGAAGTACAGTACCATTCAAGGATATATTTGTTAAGCGGTAAAATTCCTTCATTTTCTTGAACTTGCATATATGAGTTTCCCAATTTGGCAATTGATTCAATGAAGTTTCAATCCTTTTGTCATTTGCATGCTCTGAATTCTGTATATTATGCCTTGAAAGATCTAAATTGTTAACATGTTTCCAATTACAAGCTTATATAATAAAAACAAACAAACATTGCTCGAAATCTTGAATGAAAGATTAAGCTAACCTTTTCTTATTCTGATGAAAGATAAGATCCTTGAATCATCAAATTTAATGGAGTAAGAGGAAAATACTTTTTAACAACTCTATTTCTTAGTTTTGATACCAAACTTTTAAAATTTAAAATTCATTGAGAGAGACCAATCTTTATAATGAATATAGATTTGATAGACAATGCCAAACAAAATAGTTTTAATGAGTGAATATTCATAGAAGAGATGATCTATGGTTTCCTGGGCGTAACAGCCGAAAACACAAAGCTATATGCTATTCAAATGGTGAGAATTTAAAATATCACCTATAGGAATAGCATTATGTATTAGCTTCCAAATGAACATCAAAGTCTTATGAGGCAAATGCAATTTTCAAAGAAAATCCCAAATACAATCATTTGCATAAGGATTAGTTATTGTAACAAGTGCTAGCCTAGTGAAGCCCTCTTTTAGTCGAACATTGGCCAGTGCCCTATATGAGTTTGTCCTTTTTATCAATGCATGATATTGGAGTGCTGAGTATGGACTTAGCAAATTCTTCATCATACAAAACTTTGACCATCAAACTATTCTAGCAAGAAATAGTCCAAGGATGGGGATTTTTAATAAGATCAAATACCTTAAAAGCATACCCTTAAAAAGATTGAGCTGAATAGGTTTTTACCAATAAGTATAAGTAAGAGAATCAGTGTTTCCATTACCATCTTTCCAATGGAGATGTTTTTTAACAATATTCACAGCCTTGTAGATGCCTTTCCAATGCCATGAAGCATTATAGGGTAATTTAAAACAAGAGACATCAAAGTTGGAGCAACACTTGAGCTGCAAAGTATTGCCAATAAGAGAATGAATCTCTATTGTCATCACCCTCCAAATTTGTCTAGCCAAAAAGCTAGTATTCACAAGACTAGTTTTTCTTAATCCAAGGCTTGGGTTGAAAAGAACATCCTTTTGACAAGATGGTTATTTTTCATATGATCACTAATAATTCTCCAAAAAAAAATCTATTAATTTTAAATTGATCTGATTACATAACCATTAAAGGAGCTTAAAACAAGAAATAATGTAAATATTAGAAGCTGGAAGCATAGATTTGATCAAAATTAGCCTTGAAACTTGAGATAATAACTTAGCCTTCCAAGATGCTATTCTCTTGAGATAATATGATGTGTCTGAATTGATGTGGATTTAAATTTGAAACAAATCCTTTATTTAGATAAGCAAAATTTATGAATTTGAATTTGATATATATCTTATTACATTTCCTCTGTAATTTTAAATTCTTCTTATACCTGAATAATTTGAAATTTCAATTACTTCAAACACCCTGTTTTCTTTGAATTTTTATGACTAATGCCTCCATAACTCTCATATTTTTTTTTGTCTCTTATTAATTGAAAAATATAATTAAACTCACCATTTTCAATTTTTCATTTTTTTGATCTCATCTCATATCTTTTTTTAATTTTATTTTTTTAAAATCGTCCAAAGAAAGGATTTTAAATACATAAATTTTAAATGTAAGATTTAAAATATAAAATTTAAAATTTAAAATTTAAAAACCAAATGCTACCTTAGAAACAAGTGGACCACTTTGCTACTCTGCACAACCAATACTGGTTTTTCTAATTATTTGAGAAACCGACAACAAATATGTAGGATGAAAAAGAAATGGTTGCGAATGATATTGACAGAAAATAAAAGTTCACATCCTCAGCAGAATAATTAAAAATAAAAAAATTAATCATTTAATTCTTATAATTTTAATTTAGTTATAACTTAATCCTTTAACTTTGACTCATTATAAATCATTTTCTAAAGTTTTGACTTGACGATAAATAAGTCCCTGAATTTTGTCTCTTGTATCTATGAAATTTCAACCTCTTAATTGGT